GTGTGTGTGTGTGTGTGTGTGTGTGTGTGTGTGTGTGTGAGAGAGAGAGAGAGAGAGAGAGAGAGAGAGAGAGAGAGAGAGAGAGGGAGAGAGAGAGAGAGAAAGAGAGAGTAGGTGGGTGGGTGTGTTCACATGTGTCTGTGTGAGTGAATTAGAATTCAAGAAATATACCAGGCAGTGATGGTGCACGCCTTTAATCTCAGCACTCAGGAGGCAGAGGCAGGTGGATCTCTGAGTTTGAGCCCAGACTGATCTACAGAGTTAATTCCAGGACAGCCAGGGATACGCAGAGAAAAACCCCATCTTGAAGAAAAAAAAACAAAAGAAACAAAAAATAAAAAAGGAAAGAAGAATTCAAGAAATACTTTTAAGGGGCAAGCAGGGAAACTGGGTCTGGTGGTACAGCCCTGAAATCCCAACTACTTGGGTGCCTGTGGCAGGACGATCATAAATCAAAATCTCAAAATAAAAAGTTAAAAAAAAAAAGAAAGTCAAGGATGGAGTTCAGTGGCAAAGCACATGCACACTCCCGCCCAGAGTCTAACACTAGGGCATCCCAAAGTTAATCTGGTAAACAGTAAGTGGCAAGAGCAATTCAGTAAACACTTCTCTGCCCTGAATCTGTTTTTCCGAATTTTGTCATTTCTGTGAGTCGCTGAGGTGTCCAGATACAGTGTTTCTGACAGTAAGGATGTAGCGTTGTCTCCTCTCCCCTTGTGTACACACGAACCTGCACATAGAGCTCTTTACCCTCACCCCACTGCCGTGGCTGGGGTGTGGTCTCTGCTCAGTGTCAGTCACAGCACACGTCACCGGTGCACGCACTTCCCACACAATCCTTCTCTCCCTGGAGCTTCCACTTGATTTCCCTGCTTGCTAATTATTCTTTCTTTGTACCCTTCACTAACTCATCCCCATATTCTCTGATTGAAGTATAAATATATTTCATATATATTTATAAATGTTTGTTTAAAGATTTATTTATTTATTTATTATGCATACAATATTCTGTTAACATGTACACACCAGAAGAGGGCACCAGATCTCATTATCAATGGTTGTGAGCCACCATGTGGTTGCTGGGAATTGAACTCAATACCTCTGGAAGAGCAGCTGGTGCTCTTAATCTCTGAGCCATCTCTCCAGCCCTAAATGTTTTATTTTATAGTCATATTTTATCTTCCCATTTGCTGTCAAAGTAACCTCAATGTGGGACATCCCTGCCCTCCACCTAGAAACTGTAATAAATGGAGGACTTAATGACTGGCTCTATGAAGCAGTACAGTGGTATATTATTTGTGTTTTAATAAATAAAGCTTGCCTGAAGATCAGCAAAGCAACCAGACCAGTCAGCCATGCAGACCAGGCAGTGGTGGCACACACCACTTTATTCCCAGCAGCTGCACTAGTTAGCCATAGAGGCTGGGTGGTGGTGGGGCATGCCTTTAATCCCAGTACTAGACAGGAATACAAAGTGGAAATCTTTCATTCTGAAGATTTCATAGAGGTAAGAGCTCTCCAGGGGCTTCATTGTTTTTCTTTTCTGGTCTTCAAGTTGAACAGCAATATCTGTCTCTGGGTTTTTTGTTTGTTTGTTTGCTTGTTTTTGTTTTGTTTCTGATTTTCGAGACAGGGTTTCTCCATAGCTTTTTGTTTCCTGTCCTGGAACTAGCTCTAGTAGACCAGGCTGGCCTCCAACTCACAGAGATCCGCCTGCCCCTGCCTCCCGAGTGCTGGGGTTAAAGGCGTGTGCCACCACCGCCCGGCTCCTGTCTCTGGGTTTTTATTATTTGTGCTACAAAGCAGCTCTCCTCAAATGCGCAAAGTCTTCAGCTTTCAGCAGGTGCCATATAACATCACATTTACCAGCCTTTAGCAAGTACCTAACGTGCACTTATTTCCTAAGTGCCAAGGGGAATGTTGCCAAGCGAGGCTTACTTTGGGGCTCAAACTGAGACTAGCACAGACAGAAGCAGGTGGGCGAAGATGAAGGGCCTTAAAAGGGAGAGAAGGATGCTTCAGCTCCCACCTGACACACTTCCTTCTCCTTGCTGAGATGGTCCCAGAAGTTGGTCACCACAAAGGCTCCATGGGCTCCTTTTAAGGCTTCTTCCACAGACGCAGCATCATCCAGGTCACACCTGACCACCTCGGCACCAAGGTCTCGAAACGCTAGGGCGTTTTTCTGACTCACATCCCTGGTCAGCGCTCTCACTGCGAAATGTTTGTTCTCCAGAATGGACCTGGCCACAGAGCCACCCTGAGCCCCTGCAAGGTCAGAGAAGAAAAAGCACAAGATCAGGAACAAACACACAGACAAAAATGCTCACTAGAAGATCCCAGCTGCACGTGGAACTATTACTGAAGGACCCCCTTCCGGAGGAACCACGGGGAACTTTAGGCATCCCATGGTTTTCAAATTATCCAGGCCGTAAGAGGGAGAGGGCCAGGAGAGGCTGAAGGGAAAAAAACAAGTCACATGGTCAGGTACAGACTTTAGTTAAACAATTTAATACTATTATACAGACATAGATACCATAGGTTGGGTATCTTTAGTTTTTAGTTCCCATATCTTGAACGATTCTCTCTCTCCCTCTCTCTCTCTCTCTCTCTCTCTCTCTCTCTCTCTCTCTCTCTCTCTCTCCAGTTACATTTATTTATATCTATTTAGATTTTTCCCGTGCTGAGGATTAACCCAGGGCTTCAGATATGCTTAGCAAATGCTTTTCTACTGAGCTGCGTCTCTCCAAGCTTAGTCTATATTCATAAAACATTTTCAAAACTTTCATAAGTTTTACCTTTTGCTGTTGCTGTTGCTTTGCCGTCCATGGTCAATTGCACTAGGATCTTCTAATCATCTAATCTGTTTGTTTGTTTTGCGATACAGTTTCTCTGTCCTAGAACTCACTCTGTAGACCAGGCTGGCCCTGAATTCATAGAGATCTACCTGCCTCTGCCCCCTGAGTGCTGGATTAAAGGTGTGCGCTAGCACTGCCCAGCAGCATCTTGCAATCTCATTCGTTGATCCTTGGGATGAGTTGCTATGCTCCTGTGTCCTTTGTAGAAAGAGTCGAGCCTTGAATTCATCAAATGCTGGGGCATAGGCAAGTGCCTCTATGCCTGGCTTATAAAATTGTTCTCAGTTGTCTTCTTGTGGGACCTACCTGATGTATCACTGATCTGACCCTAGACAAAGAACTACCGTTTCACAAGCTGGCTTTGCCCATGAGCCTCGGGTGGTGGCTAGTAGCAAACTGGCTAGGGGTGAATGAATAGGTAGCCCAAATTTACCAGATGTTTGAAAAAAACCTCCCCATGGAAATTAAAACGAAAATAAATCGATAAAAAGAAAACAGAATCAGCAAAGGGGAGGGAATAGTTGGGGGGAAAAAAAACACCCAAGGTGGGAGAATTTGCATCCCAAATATATCTAGGCTGTGGCGTAGTTTATTGGTAGAATATTCAAGTCTGAGCATCAGCAGGGTGCAAGATTTTCTGGGGGAAAAAAAAGCTGGGTGTTGCCTGTCCTTAATTCCAGCACTTGAAAGGCAGAAACAGGTTGATCTTGAGTTTAAGGCAAGCCTGGTCTACAAAGCTAGTCCCCGTGACAGGCGGGGACACCTCTGGACTGGTTGTCCGGGTTCTATAAGAAAGCAGACTGAGCAAGGCATGGGAAGCAAGCCAGTAAGCAGCACCCCTCCATGGCCTCTGCATCAGCTCCTGCCTCCAGGTTCCCGCGCTGTTTGAGTTCCTGTCCTGCCTGCCTCCAATGATGAACGCTAAATCAGATGAACCCTGTCCTCCCAAATTGTTTTTGGTCACGGTTTCATCACAGCAATGGTAACCCCAACTAAGCATGCACTAAAAACCCTGGGTTCACTTTCCAGCACCACCTAAAACTGGGAATGGAAAGCTCCCGTCTGTAATCCCAGCACCAACAAACACTGAATCAGGAGAGAGAGATTGCAAGATGCTGCTGGGCAGTGCTAGCGCACACCTTTAATCCAGCACTCAGGGGGCAGAGGCAGGCAGATCGCTATGAATTCAGGGCCAGCCTGGTCTACAGAGTGAGTTCTAGGACAGAGAAACCATATCGCAAAACAAACAAACGGAGTAAAGTCATCTTTACAGAGTTAGTTTCAGGTCAGCTGGGCTGCAAGAGATCATGTCTCAAAAACCTTTGCACAAGGGGGAAGGGTGGGAAGTGTTTTCGGGAAGAATCTCTGAGAAATTAAGCATATTGTAATAGGAATAAAGTTGGAAGTCGGGCGTGGTGGTGCACACCTGCATGACTCAGTACTCAGAATGCAGCCACAGGAGGTCAGAAGTTTGTGCCGCCTCAGCCACATTGCAAGTCTGGGGCTAGTATAGACTTTGAAGCCCTATTTAATTTAAAAAAAAAAAAAAAACTAAAGAGACAGCCAACGCCTATGCCCCATCATTTGGAGTGGGTGGGAGAGACAAACAGACAGAGGGATAGAAAATGAAAAAGAAAGATAAAGAGACTGAGCCCAGAGAAATTTCAGAACGAAAGTGTGGAAATTTTTTTTTTAGAAAATAATCCCTTAGGGTCCAAGGATACTGACTGAGTTTCCAGAGCTCTGAGCTCAACACAGTAATAAATCAAATCTCCTGAACCCTGTATCTCCAGTGGTGGCGCACGCACGCCTTTAGTCCCAGCACTGGGAAGGCAGAGGCAGGCGGATCTCTGGGAGTTTGAGGCCAGACTGGTCTATAGAGTGAGTTTCAAGATAGCCAGGGCTACACAGAGAAACCCTGCCTTGAAAAACCACCTTCTGCTCCCACCCCCCCCCCCCCCCCCCCCCCCCCACCCCCCCCACCCCACCCCCCCGCCAACAAAAAAAAAAACAGCAACAATAAAAAACTACATCCGATTTCTTTCTCTCTCTCTTTGGTTTAATTGGTGTTCTGCTTCTGTTTTCATTAAGATAAGGTTTGGTTTACTGTAATCCACCACGTCCTTGAACTTCTGCCTCAGCCTTCCAAATGCTGAGGTGTCTGGAGCATATTACCACAACACCCAACGGATTTTCCTTTCTTTCTTTCTTTCTTTCTTTCTTTCTTTCTTTCTTCCTTCCTTCCTTCCTTCCTTCCTTCCTTCCTTCCTTCCTTCCTTCCTTTCTTTTCTGTGGGGTGGCTTTGTTTTAAACAAGTTTATTTAAAAACCAGAATGATTTGAGAAGAGGGCTAGGATTTCTTTTAAGAGTAATGTATCACTGGGCAGTGGTGGCAAACACTTTTAATCCCAAAGGCGGGCAGATCATTAATAGTTCCAGGCCAGCCTGGTCTACAGAGCCAGTTCCAGGGCAGCCAGGGCAACACAGAGAAACCCTGTCTCAAAAGCCAAAAAAAAAAAAAAAAAAAAAAAAAAAAAAAAAAACAAAGAAAAACAACAAAAAATTTCTCCAATGCGACAAGATTTGTGTGTTATAAAAGCAGTGGGAACAGAATACCAGCTGGAACATAGAAGCAAGCTGAATAAGAACGGCACCCACTCAGGACCGTGGGTTTGCATGGAGACCAGCACCTCTGCAGCAAAGGAGCCGAACAGATTTGAGAGACCTCAGCGGACCAGAACCCACAGGTACTGGTCCACCCCTGCGAAGATTCCTAGAGCTCTTGGCCTACCAGAGTCCTTCCTGGGCTCCCCAGGAAACCTATGTTAATTCCTCTGCTCAAAACCTTTCCATGACTTCTGTCTTTTTGGAAAAACAATCTCACCATACTTGGCTTTGTGTTTGCACTCTATTGTAGACCAGGCTGACCTTGAATTTACAGAGACGCCTGCCTCACAAGTGCTGGGATTAAAGGTTTGTGCCACCTCAAAAGTCACCAGTCTCCTTTTCTTTTGTTTTCTTTCCTTTAGGCATGTCAGTAACTTGCCTCCCGGGCCGTGTGGAGCTTGTTTTCCAGTGTGGAAAGACGGGAAAGATGGTCAGGTAGGGAGGGGTCCAGATGGTGACTTGGCTAGAACAAAATCTCATGTTTCAAATGGAGGTATGGAAACACCCCCTGGAGACCCTGTCTGAATGGAGCCCTGGTATCTGTGAGGGAGAAAATGGAGTGATAGGAAAGATCTTTCTAGGCTGGGGAAGCAGGGGCAAAGGCTCTAAAGGGACGTGCATTTGAAAAACAGCAAGGAAAAGCCAGCAGAATGGCTTCGTGGATAAAGTGCTTGCTGCACAACCTGCACAGTTCTCTCGTGCGCGCGCGCGCGCGCGCGCGCACACACACACACACACACACACACACACACACACTGTACTACAATAAACATTTTAAAGGAAAAAGGCAAGCAGCAAGGAAAGCCCGTGTACTCTCATGGGGGAGGGAGGTTTTTGGAGGACGGGAACCAAGACCGTACTTTCCTTGGAGTGAGACACCATTTACTGGTTTCTAAAGGATCACTAAGAGCCTGGGGTGTAGGTCTACGCTGATTTGACTAACAGTTTGCAAAGATGGCTCAAGCTGTTGGGGCAGAGTGAAGAGTGGATTAAAGGCACAGGCTTCTCAAGGCCACCTCACGCCACCTGGGTGCTCTCCAGAACTGCACAGTCCCTGCTCCCTGCTTGCTTCTGCAGCTTATCAGACAAAGAGCGGGAAAGGAGATCAGGTTCCAGAGAGACTTGCACCAAGAAGTTAGCCGGTGATGAGGGGGGACACACCGTCAGCAATCTTTAACTTTCTAAGACAGTTTGTTTTTTACAAATAAGTCAAGTTAACCTGCTCACATCAAAACCACTAAGCACAAGATGACGTTCAGTTTACTCCTAAGGGCTGTTGGTTCTGCTCACTCTCTGGACCTCCAAATCTAAAACCAGGAAATCAGAAAAACGAGCAAAGTTAGCATGCATCTTATGCCAGGGTTACACAGAGGAACCCTGTCTCCAAAAACAAAAACAAAACAAAACAACAACTAATATATATATATATATTATATATATATATATTTACCTGTTGCTCCAAATACTGCAATTATTTTCCTGTTGGCCATGTTCCCAGGCTAAGAACGAGGTGATGGAGAGCAGCCGAGCAGAGACAAACGGGGAAATGCCGTTTCTTTCCTGGTGCAACTTTTATAGGTAGGAGCACCACGCCCCTGTAGAGTGCCCCTCCCTTGGAAGCCTTCTTGTTTCCACTAACTCCTTCACTCACTGTGTCTCTGCCGTTTTCCAGTGATGATTCATGCGGAGCAGGGGTGGTGGTGGCTATCCCATGCTCTAAAAAGAGATCTGTACACATATAACTGATTGGCCTGTTTGTTCTGAGATAATGTTCCTGCCCAGCTGGAACCCGAAGGAATGCCCAGGGAGGTCATAGCCAGGCAGACAAGCAAGGGGGCTACAGTAACTGAGGTACAGACATCAGTAATTTCCCAAGAGTGACCGCCACCTGCTGAGGGTGGGATCAGTTACTCTCAAAGAAGAAAGCGCTGTGAGGGCAATTTCTCTAAGATGTGTGGCCAATTTCTCTAAGATGTGTGGTGATACTTGGTTTGTGATCTAACAAATAAAGCTTGCCTGAAGATCAGAGTGCAGAGCTAAGCCACTAGTTAGCCATAGAAGCCGGGCAGTGGTGGCGCACACTTTTAGTCCCAGCACTCTGGAGACAGAGGCAGATGGATCTCTGTTGAGTTCAAGGCTGCCCTGGGCTTCATGAGATTGAATCTGTCTAAAAGAGAAAGATAGGAGCTCAGGATTCAGTCTGCTGAGGACTTGTAGAGACAGGATACCCCATTGGGTCTAAGGATTTTGTAGAGCTAAGAATTAGTGGCTAGCTGCTCTGCTTCTCTGATCTTCCAGCTTTGCCCCTATTATCTGACTCCGGGTTTTATTATTAAGACCAATTAGAAATTGTATTACAAAGATATCAGCCTGCTTCCTTTTCTTATCACCCTTTGAATAAAGCCCACCCTAGACTTGATTGATCCCTAAGCTGACATCACCGCTATTCTGCTCCTCTCCCTCGCTATTGCTTCTCACAAGCGATACAGTGAATTACAGGTCCCAGTGGTCGGGATCTAGTGAAGGGGCTACTCTATAAAAAAAATTTTTTTACAAGGGCTGGAGAGCTGCCTTAGCCAGTAAGAGCACCAGCACCTCAAGACTCTGACTCAAAACAAACAAAACCACCAACACCAACAAAACCCCTGCCGTCCAGGGAAAGGCTAAGAGAAGCTGAGTCCCTAGGGAGAGGCACAAAGGCCAGACTGGGACGTTTGGGAAGGGTTGGAGGCAGGTATTGCTAGAGGTGACCTGGCAAGGATGGTGATGGGCCAGGGCCACTTTCCTCTGAGCGGCCCAACAATAAATGACGAGTTTCCTGTTCCTGTGAGACTTAAGCCAGCCTTAAGGGATGACCGTAGCCCTGAGTAGCCTCTCTCCCTCTCTTCTAAGGTTTCCCTGGTAACTGTCGCTTACTTGACACATTCGAATTCCTCAATTTTCTTTGTGGAACTTGCTATGTAGACCAGACTGTCTTTGAACTCACAGAAACCTGTTTCTGCTTCCTGAATGCTGGGATTAAAGGTGTGAGCCATCTTGCCCAAAAGTTAAGTTGTTTTTAGACAAGGGCTCATAGCCCAGGCTGGCCTGGAGCTTGATACATAGTTGAAAATGACCTTAAATTTATGATCTTGTCCTCCTATTTCTGCCTCCCAAGTGGTGGAATTATAGCCATGCTTATCATGAGTGGACAGTGGTTATAATATGAAACATAAATAAAAGGTGTCTCTTTTTATACCTTATATTTTGCTTCCTTTTTCTTTATAATCCTGTATTGCCAGATATGTGATAAGCATGTATAGTTATTTCTATATTTACTTTATGCCTCCTCCCTCCCTAGAGCGTATGTTTCGTTTTCTTATGTATCCCTAGTGTCCAAAGCGTCCAGCTATATCAACACATAGTAAATTCACAGTAAATCTTTGTTGGAACAATGAATATTTAATGGGTGGATAGTATTGCAAGAGTCAAAGTTAACCTGTGAGCCTCCTCCTGCCCAAGGACCAAGTAAGATGCTGGCCGTTGTTCCTGGGAAATGCAGTGGCTATATGGTCTCATCCTTAAAAGGCCCCTGCAGACATGACTCATGGCTGCTCACTGGGATTCTAGAGCGTGGACCTGATCAGGGTTCATCCTGGTCAGTATTTAATTAAAGTTCGCTTCAAACTGGGCTCAAAATTGTGGAAGTGGTCTTTCTTTGGTGAATCTCACAAGTCTCAGTATTACATTTGGAGGCCCACAGCAGTGTCCCCTCCATGTCCGGGTTCCTTCTAGACAGTAACTCTGATGTCAGCCATCACAGGGCCTTTGGTCATTCTGCTTCTGCTAATTACTTCTGACTCCTACATCCCTGATATAATAACTAAATGGTAATTCCTGTCTGGCTACCATTAAGATGATGGTCAATAGATCTCAATATAAACAAGTACACTTCAAAGAGTCAAGAATTTGACCCAGGATACAAATCAAGAGGGGAATGTTAAGACCAAAAGTCAGCCTGTAAACCCCACCTGCCCAAGGCCCAGGTAACTTCCTAGAATGCTGGGAGTTGTAGTTCTCAGAAAATAACAATGCCACATGGGAAACATGATGGTCTAATGGTTTTGTCCTTAAAAAGTCCCCTACAACAAGCAACTCATGGCCTCTTGTGTGATTCCGAAGAGTGGACTTGGCCAGAGTCCATCCTAGTCAGGGCATGGCTCAAAACTGTATAACTGGTTTTTCTCTCTTGAATCCCACGAATCTCAGGATTAATACTACCTAAGAGAGCCAGAAGGAATGACTCTGGGTACCAATGAAGGAGCGATAAAAGGTAGCTGGCCTCCTTGCCAAATAGAAATAAAGGTAGGTCCAAGACAGAAGACAAATCAAGCCCCTTGCCTTCCCCTGGACTCTCCCATTGATAGCCCTGCCCCTGTCTGCTTATCCTTGCAGGAGAAAGTAGTTTTCCTGGCATCTCAATCTGCAGTATATCATGATGCAATTGAGAGGCAAGTCTGGAAAAATGGAAGTTGGTCATTGTAGTGCTTGGTCTTGATTGTCAACTTGATGAGAGTTAATCAACCGCCAAGAATCAAACATCTGTGCGTGTCTAAGAAGGGTTTTCTAGACAGAGTTAAGGTGGAAAGGCCCACTCTAAACCCAAGAGCTCGGGTCCCAGCTAAAATGACCTGAGTATTCGTCTTAGCTTCCTGACAAGGAGGATGTGACCAGGCCTCTTCAGCTCCTGCCTCCACAACACCCACAGCATGACAAACTATTGGCCGTGACAAAGTTACCTTCCCTCTCTTAAGCAACTTTTGTCCCAGCAAGGATAAAGTCCTTAAAAATAGCGTTGTATACACATTTATTTATTTATTTATTTATTGTTAAATCTTTATGCGTGTGTGAGTGTTTTGCCACTTGTATGCACCTTCACTACGTGCATGCAGTGCCACAGAGTCTGGAAGAGGGCATCAATCTCCCAGAACTGGAGCTGCGGGCTGTTGCAAGCTGCCATGGTGGGACTGGGAACCAAACCTGGGTCCCCTGGAAGAACAAACACTCTCAAGCAATGCCATCTCTCCAGTCCCCTCTAATACAACATTTAAAAAAAATAATCCACATTAAAAATAGGGCATGATGAGGGCTCTTACTCTCAGGGCTGGAGTTTCCAGGCAGCCAGCCTAGCCCGACCAGCAAGCCCTAGAGCCCAGGGAGAGACTCTGTCTCAAAAACCAAGTGGATGGCTCATGAGCAGTGACACCCAACGTTGTTCTCTGGCCTCTGCATTCATGCACACACACTTACACCCACACATAGATACAAAAAAAAAAAAAAAAAAAACAGAAATTCATGCCCCAAATACTGAAAGGTTATCAAAGGTCTAAAAAGGAAGGATAAGGGACCAACATTAAAGAGAAAGAAATGAAGTTGAGTCTGGCTGCATAACTCAGTCCAGGAAGAAACTCAGCCTGCCTCCTTCTCCCAGATGTTGGCGTTACAAGTTTGTGCCACCAAGCCCGCTTTCTGTAACTTTCTCTTAAACTAAAACATACTATTTCTGTAAGAGCCTGGAATAGCTTCCTACCTTTTTGCTTTGACCCAGACAGGGTCTTGGTATTACCTCCCTTTCTCAAAGAAACTGTGGCAGGAGTGAGGGAGCATGTGTGGACGAGCAGGCAGGCATTTTCTGGGGTGGGAAGGTGGCTAACCTGATTATATAAAGTAGCCACCTATGCGTGATGTACTAGGCTGAGATTATGTAGAGCTCTCTTTAGCTTTTTTTTTTTTTTTTATGGGGTGGGTGCTTTTGAGACAGGGTTCTCTGTGTAGTCCTGGCTGTCCTGGAACTCACTCTGTAGATCAGGCTGACCTCGAACTCAGGCATCCTCCTGCCTCTGTTTCCCAAGTGCTGGCATTAAAGGTATGTGCCATAACCTGGCTTCTAGTTTTTTGTTTGTTTGCTTGTTTACATTTATTTACTTGCTATGTATGTGTGTAGACATGAATATGCTACATGCATGCCAACATTGATGCCAGAGGGCAGCTTGAGTCTGTTCCCTCCTCCACCACATGGGTTCTAGTGGTCAAACTTGAGCGCCCAGTCTTGGTGGCAGATGCCTTTATCCCGTGAGCCATCTCTGTTTCATCAGACTTCGCTATCGTTAGATCTCTCAATCTTTCTTTTGTTTCTTTCTCTGTTTCCTGAGACAGGGTCGCATGTGAATCCAGTCTCAAGATTATCATGTTCCTGAGACTGGCCTTGACTTCTAATCTTCCTCCAAATATACCTCCAAAGTGTGATACCATACCCGGCTTGAACTTCTTTATTCTACGTTCTGAAAGCCGGCACATCATCGTACCTATTCTGTCCTAGTCACTATTGTAAGTAACAAAAACACCTATCCAGGCTGGGCACGTAGCTTTGCTAATAGAATGGTTGCCTAGGGTGAGTGAGTCCCTGGGTGTCATGACATACATTTTTAGTTCCAGCACTTAAGAGGAAGAGGCGGGAGGCTCAGGAGTTCAAAGCCAACCTGGGTTTCACAAGACTCTGTCTATAAAAAACAAAGAGAA